TGGGGGCCCTCCCCCTGGGGACGCGGGCGCCCCCCCCCGCCCCGATTCCCCCCCCCCACTAACCGAAGCAGCCAAAGGCCTGGCAGCAGCAGAGAGAAAGGTTCATCTTTGGCCCGGCTGGGTTCCTCGAGCAAAGAAGGGCCACGCGTCGAGGAAGCAGGGGAGGCTCCGGCGAGCGCGGAGGACCCGGCCCCACCAGAGAGCATCCACGCACCTGCAGGCGTCTCCGATGCCTTGGCAGGCCCGTCGCCCACGGAGGATTCTTGTGCAGACGCCTTCTGGGAAAGGACCGTCGCCAGCAGCTGAGGGATTGGGGGCGGGGAAGAGAGAGGAGGCAGAACCGAGTGAGAAGAGGGCTCGGAGAGGGGCACGGGGGGGGGGGCACGGGGGGGGGGCGCACACGGGGGCAACGGGGGACCCAGGAAGGACCGGCCGGGAACGGGCAGCTGTCTAGCAGAGCCCTGATTCCCTTGGCAAAGTGGCACACGGTGGCACGGCGCCAGCACGGCTCTGCCTGTTCGGTATTCGCGGCAGCGGCCCAAGCTGGCGTGGAAACCTTGCCAGGCTGCCGGTACGCGAGCGGGAGATCCGGGGAGACCAGGAGAGGGGCTACCTCCCCCTCCCCTCCCTCCTGGCTCACCTCCCCCAGGAGCGGAACGAGATCCTGGGCATCTGCCAAGGGAGCCGGCAGGAGCAGAGAAGAGCCGGTGTGCCCAGCAGCCACCAGGGGGCAGCAGAGCACAGCCGTGCCCGCTTTAGGCCAGGATGGATTCCGTGGCCGGCCAAAGAACCAAGCTTTTTGGGGGGGCTCTCCCTTGGTGCCCTTGTAGGCCACAGGGGCGGGGAAGGACACGAAGCGATGCCAGAGGCGGGATCCCGGGAGCAGAGGGTTCCACTCACCTTGACACCTTCCGCGCCGGGGTGGAGAGCGTGGCTGCCGCTCCCCGCGCTTTGGCCACTCCCCGAGCTCCGGCCGCTGGCCACGCTGCCCGTGCTGCCGACGCTGCTGCGGTCGCCGCCTGTCGACAGGGGAGGGAGGGGTCACGTTAGGAAGGATACACGGCAGCGGCAGGCGGGTGCCCCTTCCAGGAAAAAGCAGTGCCACGGAAGAGAGGACGGCACCGGAGCTTGTGACCGGGGAGGACTCGTCAACGATGAGTCCGGGTCTCCCTGCTCCCCCGGGGCCCGTTCCAGGTTTTGGGAGGCCCTGCGCCAGCGCTCCCTCTAAGCTGAGCGAGTGTGAGCCAGCTCGCAGTTTTCTTAGCCTCCGGCTCACGCATTTTGGCCTCAGCTTCAGGAAGGAGGGCTCCGGAGCCAACTAATGTACGCCGTAGCCAAATCGCTCGCTCACAGCTTCAATGCTGGTAGCTCACAAAGCAGCCTTTTTGCCCATAAGACTCCACGGCTTAGAGGGAGCATCGCCCCGGGCAGAGCTTCCAAGGACCCTCCTCCTCTTCTGCCCACCACGACGCCCCCTGCTTGGACCCGTCTTCTTTCCCATCCCTCCAGCCAGCTCCCCACCTGCCTTTGTGTCCTTCCCTGTCTGGGGGGGGAGGGAAGGAGGAGGAGGAAGAGGCGGAGGAGTTGGATCTATGCTGCAACCTTCCCTCGGGACTCTCAGAGCGGCTTCCAATCTCCTTTCCCTTCCCCTCCCCGCAACAGACACCCTGCGAGGTGGGTGGGGCTAAGAGAGCTCTTTCGAGGACTGCTCATGAGAGAACAGCTCTGAGAGAACTTGTGACTGACCCAAGGTCACCCAGCTGGCTGCAGGTGGAAGAAAATGGGGAATCAAAAGCCAGTTCTCCAGTTTAGAGTCCACTCAATGGCAGAGAAGAAGAGACTGGATTTATACCTTGCCCTTCACTCGGAGTCTCAGAGCGGCTTACAATCTCCTTTCCCTTCCCCTCCCCGCAACAGACACCCTGCGAGGTGGGTGGGGCTAAGAGAGCTCTTTCGAGGACTGCTCATGAGAGAACAGCTCTGAGAGAACTTGTGACTGACCCAAGGTCACCCAGCTGGCTGCATGTGGAGGAAAATGGGGGATCAAAAGCCAGTTCTCCAGTTTAGAGTCCACTCAGTGGCAGAGAAGAAGAAGAAGAGACTGGATTTATCCCCCGCCCTTCACTCGGCGTCTCAGAGCGGCTTACAATCTCCTTTCCCTTCCCCTCCCCACAACAGGCACCCTGTGAGGTAGGTGAGGCTGAGAGAGCACTTTCGAGGACTGCTCTTGAGAGAACAGCTCCGAGAGAACTTGTGACTGACTCAAGGTCACCCAGCAGGCTGCATGTGAAGGAGGAGTGGGAAACGAAACCCGGTTCTCCCAGATTAGACTCCGGTGCTCTTAACCCCTACACCAAACTGGGAGATGAAGCGCTAATAACTGAGTAGGTGGAGTGGGGGGGGAGTCAGCGGCAGTGGGCCCCACGAGAAGAAGCCCTCCGCCCCCACCCTGGCTTCATCCCCATTTACGAAACCTCCCCCTTCCCCCCTTACCTGCGTAGGGTTTCCGAAGCACCCAGATCTCTTCCGCCGGAGCCGGCGTGGTGGCGGACGCACCTGGGGACAGGTGGGACGGGCTGGCGTCGGACCCTCGGGAACCTTTGGGGTCAAAGAGAACCACCATGGGCCCGGCAAAGAGAGAGAGAGAGAGGGCGGGAGGCGAGGCAGCGCGGCCCCCGCCCCAAAGGATGGGGTGACACGGGCGCCTTGACAGGACTCGGCCACTGCGACGTCCACGCTCCCCCCTCAGAGTGTCTTGCGAGCCGGGTAAGGTAGGGTGTTGGGTGTAGTCCCTTGCAGTGTGGCCGTAGATGCTGGGCTACCAACGTCTAGTCACACACCATCCACGGTCGGACTCTGAGCATCGCCCTTTTTGGGTGGGGTGCCGCTTCTGCAGCACCCCAAAGGCACCCCCTTCCAGCCGCCTGGGCGTGGGGCGCATGCCATCTGTTTGAGCACAGCCACTCAAGGTCAACCAAGCGTGCTACCTGCCGACGGCAGAGGGCAGTCGGGCCCCTCCGGGAAGACCAGGAACGTGGGCGCGGCTCTCTGCACAGGGAGGCGCCTCGGAGCGCCACGCGTTTGTCTGACCGGCTTTTAAAACAGCAAATTCCTTACGCTCGTTGGGTGAAGAAGCAACGCCACCTTCTGTCTGCCCGAAATCCATTTCCCTGGGAAGCCCCCTTTCCCCGCAGCTAAAGGAGCAAGAGCAAAG